GCGCGGATGTGTACGCTGTGCGTAAACACTTGCACACCTATACAATCACACACACACACACACACATAAATATTCACACACCTACACATACACATGTAAAAACACATACACATAAACGCACACACATACACGTAAACAAACACACGCACACACGCACACACACACACACACACACACACACACGCACACACACACAAAAGTACTGCGAACACAAGCAAACGTTCCCAAGCCATTATCTTATCGAGAGGAACCTGAGCATTAAAAGCTGCACAGTAGTTGCTATCATTACCGAGCCGCCGCTTATCCCGGAAGTGGTCTGTTAACCTATCCCTCCCCCCCCCCATCACCCCAACCCCACGACGCGCAAAACCTCACGCATGATGGAAGGAGGGGGGGAGCGTTTTTTTTTTTTCTTTTTCTTTTTTAAAGCACATCACGGAACAGTGTTATGTTTGCCTACCAGGTATTAGGCGCGGGGGGGAGAAGGGAGAGGGAGAGAAGGGGGAGATAGGGAAGGGGGAAATAAAGGGGAGAAAGAAGGGGGAAAGAAGGGGGAGGGAGAATGGGGTAAAAGAAGGGGAAGAGAAGAGTATAGGGTAAAAGAAGGGAGAAAGAATGGGGAGGAAAAGGAAGACGGGAGATGGAAGAAGTTGGGGGGAATCGGAGAGGGAGAGGGGAGTAAGGAGAGAGGGAAGGAAATGAAAGAGATAAAAAGAAGAGGGTGAGTGAAAGAAGGAAATGGCTGTAGGAAAGGGAAAAAAAAAACAAGAGACGGAGGGAAGAGGAAGGATGAGAGAAGAGAGGAAGGGGTGAGGGAAAAGGAAAGAAAGAGAGAGAGAAAAAAATATATATATACGAAAAGGAAAAAAAGAAGAAGAAAGACGAAGAAGAAAAATACAAGGAAGAAAAAGCAGAAGAAGACAAATAAGAAGAAGAAGAAGAAGAAGAAAGATGAAGAAAAATATGAAGAAGAAAAAGAAGAAGAAAGACGAAGAAGAAAAATACAAGGAAGAAAAAGCAGAAGAAGACAAATACGAAGAAGAAGAAGACGAAGGGCGTGGTAGCTTTCTAGATGAACTTCCTAGAATATAGCGGACAAAATAGCCGTGACGTCACACGAGCGCGGGAAAGACAGGTCGGCGCTGCTCCCTCCTCCCTCCTTCGCCCTACCCCTCCCCTTCCATTCGCTCCCACAATCACAAGCGCGGAATTACACATGAATTGAATCGTCTAAAGAGAGAGAGAAAAATAGAGAGAGGGAGAACGAGCGAGCGAGAGAGAGACAGAAAGAGAATAAGAAAAAGAGGTAATGAGAAATTGTTTGCTATGTATGCACTAAAATATCTAACCTTACTGAACAAAAAAATATAAAAATATAAAAAACGAGAGGAACGATGAGCTAGAGAACAAATAACAGAGATTAACTAACTTCATGCGCCATGGCTACACCCTTTTATCCCAATATGTGAAGGGAGAAAGGAGAGAGAGAAAAAAATATATATATACGAAAAGGAAAAAAAGAAGAAGAAAGATGAAGAAAAAGCAGAAGAAGACAAATAAGAAGAAGAAGACGAAGGGCGTGGTAGCTTTCTAGATGAACTTCCTAGAATATAGCGGACAAAATAGCCGTGACGTCACACGAGCGCGGGAAAGACAGGTCGGCGCTGCTCCCTCCTCCCTCCTCCCTCCTTCGCCCTACCCCTCCCCTTCCATTCGCTCCCACAATCACAAGCGCGGAATTACACATGAATTGAATCGTCTAAAGAGAGAGAGAAAAAAATATATATATACGAAAAGGAAAAAAAGAAGAAGAAAAAAAGAAAAACGTAGACGGAAAGAAGAGATAGTGTGCGTCTTGTCACAGCCAGCTCTAACACAGGCGCGTACACCGTCTTGAAGGACCCGCCGTGTCGAACAAGGGTTTCTCATCTTTGACACCGTTACGCACCTGTTTATGAGTTTGCTTAAGGGCCGTGGGGAAGAGAGGAGGGGGTGGGGGAGTAAGGTGGGGAAGAGAGGAGGGGGTGGGGGGGGTGAGGTGGGAAAGAGAGAGGGGAAGGGGGAGAGGGAGGGAGAGACAGGTAGGGAGGGGGAGAGAGATTGAAAAAGGGGTGGGGAGGGAGACAGGGAGTGAGGAAGGGAGGGAGGAAAGGGAGGTAGGGAGGTAGGGAGAGGGGGAGGTAGGGAGAGGGGGGGTGAAGGTAGGGAGAGAGAGAAAAATAGAGAGAGGGAGAACGAGCGAGCGAGAGAGAGACAGAAAGAGAATAAGAAAAAGAGGTAATGAGAAATTGTTTGCTATGTATGCACTAAAATATCTAACCTTACAGAACAAAAAAATTATAAAAAAAACGAGAGGAACGATGAGCTAGAGAACAAATAACAGAGATTAACTAACTTCATGCGCCATGGCTACACCCTTTTATCCCAATATGTGAAGGGAGAAAGGAGAGAGTGAATAAGGTTTGGGAAGAAGTAATAGCCATGCTTAAGTGGAGGTGCA